AATAAATTGTTACTTTTAGTCGGGTGTAACGTCCTATCAATGTGCATAAATAAAAAAAAAACTTTGTCTCACATATCAGATATCAAATTTGTAAGTGACTTACAACATACTTACTTACCTGACTTACGTACGTACGTACGTACATATAGAGTACGTACAGTGCAGTATTTGAATTAAGTATACAGATATTTTACTTGCACTAATTTTTATTAGTCTGTTTAACAATTGCTAATACTAACATATCTTAAATTTCTCCTTAAAATAAATATTCAAAGAAGATTTATTGATAGACTTTATGGATGACAATAACCATAAAAATCAATTTATAAAATTATCAAACTCTTTTATATGTATGTCGTTACGCTTTTTTATGTAGTGTTCAAATATACTTTATCCTTTCGTCGGACTATTAAAAATTTGTCATACATATATTCTTAAAACGAGGTATGCAAACCACATTACAAATTTGTTCACAAAGATTACATAATACTGACAAAAATGATGAATTTTCTAGTTGATCAAGAAAATAAGTTAATGACCTTATAACGAACTTTAAACAATCAATAAATTCTTTTCTTTTGTTCTTTTCATCTTCAATAAGTTGATAATCCCGATTAAAATATCTTTAAATATTTTTAATAATAATTTTTTTTTCTTTTTTTTACACATTCATTCCATTCATTCTATTCATTCTATTCATTTTATATGAAAAAAAAAAAATAAATCATTTTTTAAAAAAAATTACATCATGCGTTTGGATATGAATCGATCAATTCTTTTGAATCTTCCAACCGATTGTCTCGTAGAAGTTTTAAGACATCTTAAATATGATATATCTTCTTTATACTCTTGCATTTTAGTTAACCGTTTATGGTGTAAATTATCCATTCCTTTACTTTGGTATAGTCCATTCGAATTTACAAGACATAATAATAAAGCCGAACTTATTATTGAAACTTATGTATCTTGTTTCTCAGAAGATGAAAAAAACCAATTTTATGA